TGTTGCTTTTGCTGTTGGTGATATTGTTATTGACGTTGTTGTTGTTGATGTGTTGTTGCTGTTGTTGTTGTTATTGGTGTTGCTGATGTTGTTGATATTGTTGTTTTTGATGTCGTTGTATGTGTTTGTATGTGTGTATGTATGTGTGTGTGTATATGTGTGCGTGTGTATGTATGCCACAAGGTATGGATAGACATGATTTATGCATATACCCTCTCCAAATACCATCAGCATCTCCACAACTAATACTCACTCTCTCCAATAAAATTATCATTATCTCTAGCCAGCGCTGACGAGGAGTTGAAGTGTTGTCGGGTGTAATTAAATCCGTCACCATCATCATAATTATAATAATATTTATTATATAATAATATTCATTATATAATAATTATAATAATATTTATTATAATAATTATTATTATTTTACTACGCTACTTCATTTATTCCAACACAAATTCAATTCGAGCTACGTTACTACAATTTCTCCTCGACTTGTAAAGGATCGTCAAATTTAGATAAGCCAGGGAGTGGTGTGCAGAATCTCTCACTACCGACGAATCTCTAGGGAAGTAATAGTAATATGTCAGCAAGAGACACTGCAGAAGAAACAAAAATGAATGTTCGCAGCAATTTAAAGAAAAGCAGTAATGAAGAAACCTATCGCTTATGGCGCGAAACCTCTTCAAACTTCGTCAAGCCGGACAGTTCTCTGACAGAAATTGGCTCATTAAAGCAATCCCTCAAACCTTTTAATGAGACCCGAGTAAAGTTATGTCTCAACCATCCCCATCATGGACTTCAGTCTCGAGGCACGGTGCTCAAGTCAATTGGCGAACTCATTACTCCAGCAGAAATAACATGTTGGTCGAAAACTATTGACAACATGCCCGGGGTGCTCTGCAGATTTGCAAGGAAGTACCTAATTCAACAACTGCCCACTAACTCAAATTTGTTTAAATGGGGCAAAGCCAAAACTCCCTTATGCCCACTGTGTGATTTTCGCCAAACAAACAAGCATGTAGTGTTAAACTGTGGTTCAACATCGGCTCTGAAGAAATACACAGACAGACGTAATAAAGTACTGACGTTGATGAAAGAGGAGTTGAAGTTACAGGCTCCAAATGACTGCTGCTTATTTGCGGATTTGGAAATGAAAGGCATCCGTCCAATGCCGTGCCTATTCAACACGCTACGTCTGGACATTGCCACTTTGGGAGCGACAGGATTGAGGTACTGGAGCTGACGATATGCCATGAAACTAATCTATTTTCATCAAAACAATAAAAACGACAGACATATCTAGATTCAAATGCATATCTAAATAGCGAATATAACGACTGCTCGACAATAACTAACACGGTCTACAATCGGTTCCTACATTAAGTTTAATTTATCGCTATTTAAATTTTCATTATGATCATTATTAATATTCTTATCATCATCATCATTATTATAACTATATTAAGACTGATTACATTTCTCGTTGTACGCATTTTATATCTATAATGGCGAGCATCGTAGACTACTTTCTCATTTTAATTCATTTTATTTTATTTTATTTCATTGAATATTTATATCGCCCCTTTTTTGGAAAAAATAAAAGAGTTCCCATTATTATTATTATTATTATTTATTATTATTATTATTATTATAATCATTTATAGTAATATCATCATCATCGTCGTCGTCGTCGTCAGCGTCGTTGTTGATGTTGTTTATAATAGTTACTTGAGACCCCGGTGTGATCGCATTTTAATAAGATCCAATCCGCATTCCCATTACATTTCCCTCTTTAATGTTCAGCCATACCAATCATCGTTATCATCATCATTATTACCATCATTACCATTATCGTTATCATCATCACCATCTTCACAATCGTCGTCATCATCATCCTAATCAATCTTCGTCGCCTTCAACATTTTTACGATCCTTTATCATGATCGTCATCATTGTATCCCTATCATCATCATCATCATCGTTATAATCACTACAGTCGTCATCATTATCATCATCACAATCTCCATCATTATCGTCGTCGTCATCATCATCATCACAATCATCATCATGCAATCATCATCATCATCACAATCACAATCATCACCACCATCATCACATAATCATCTTCAGGTGATTTTTCTCGTGTAGGTACTGTCATTTCCTCATTTTTAAGAACGGCGTTGTTGACTGCTAGCTATCATTGTTATTATTATTTTTATTAGTAGTAGTAGTAGTAGTAGTAGTAGTAGTAGTTGTTGTTGTTGTTGTCGTTGTAGTGGTAGTAGTAGTAGTAGTAGTAGTAGTAGTAGTAGTAGTAGTAGTAGTAGTAATAGTAGTAGTAGTAGTTGTTGTTGTTGTCGTTGTAGTGGTAGTAGTAGTAGTAGTAGTAGTAGTAGTACTAGTAGTAGTAGTATGATTATATTTGTATTTCTTTTTTTTCTAATTACCGGTTTTTGTGCCTATTGGCAATATTGACATTATGGCCAATATTAAAATCAATATTGAGTGTAGCTAATACTACTTTTACGAACGCTACTATTTTAACGAACCCTACTACTACTACTGCTACTACTACTACTGCTACTTCTACTACTACTACTACTACTACTACTACTGAGGCTACTAGAACCACTACTACTACTACTACTGCTGGTGCTGCTGGTGCTGCTACTACTGCTGCTGCTACTACTGCTGCTGCTGCTGGCGCTGCTACTGCTGCTGGCGCTGCTATTGCTGCTACTACAGCTCCAAGTAAATTACTGCTCCAACGACAGCCACACGCACGCACCGTCTAGTTGAAGTGAATATGTTGCTAACGAGATTAGGTATTTATTTCTCATTTATTTATATCTTTTGTCTCTCCCTCTTACTTACGTCATCATCATCGTCGTCGTCGTCATCTCTCGTCAGCACTTTTATAATTTCAATCATTCTTATATAAAATATAAAATAAATACTTTAATAAAGATAAAATAGACGAAAAGGTAAGAAGTGTATTAATTATGCCATGATCGATCATTGTCGTCGTGTTAGCATCGACACTTCTTCATCCTCATAAGCGTAGATTTATGATAGTGATGTGTTTTACATATTTATATATTTATATTATATATAGATATATATTTTTAGATTTTAATTCGCAAAATTGAAAGTAAGTATTATTTTGATATATATTTTTAGATTTTAATTCGCGAAATTCAAAAATAAATATTATTTTCAAAATTTTTTTGGGTAAATCATTGCTGAATTTAAAAAAAAACAATTAAATAACAATAATAATGTTAATAAATTATGGTAGTAGTAATAAATAGTAATAATAATAAGTATTATTAATAATAATACTTCTATTTCATTTTTTAATACCAAAACATTATTTTTTGTCATTCATACATTTTTTTCTCGTGTTTGGCGACAGTTTTATGCTGGCTACGTGTTCACTAGCTTTTGGTAAACTATAATCAATTAATTTATTTGTTTATTCTTATTTATTGGTTTTGTTTGTTCGTTCGTTTGTATGTTTGTTTGATTGTTTGTTCGTTCGTTCGTTCGTACCTGCTAATTAGTTTTTTGATTTTAACTTGTTTTTTATTCTATTTCATTTCATTTTATATTGTAAATTCATTTAATTCATTCGTTGAAACTCTTTTGAGTTTCGTTCCTACAACTAACTGCCTGTTTTTTGTCAGAAAAATATTCTTCTTCATTCCTTTACATCATTTGTAGCTCTTCAAATTTTGTTGCTATTTCGCATTTCCATTCCTTTCTCATTCTTAATAAATCTCTATATTTCTCTATTTCTCTCTCTACCTCTCACTCTCTCTCCTTCTCTCTCTCTCTCTCTCTCTCTTTTTCTCTCTCTCTCTCTCTCTCTCAGTTTTTTTTACAAATTTTCAAAGTCTTTTTGGCAATTCGTCATCGCTCCATTTTTTCTTGTTTTTCACTTTTTCCATCTGTCTATTCTTTTTTTTTACTCAATCCATCTTGCCTTTCACTATCTACTTACTATCTCTCCATCATTTTTTCTATCTTTCTATCTTTTTCTTCTAGCGCCCATCCATCTATCCATATATTCATTCATTCATTCACTTACAAATTCATTCATTCATTCATTCATTCATTCATTCATTCATTCATTCATTCATTCATTCATTCGTTCGTTCGTTCTTTCATTCATTTATTCATTCGTTCGTTCATTCATTCTACGTGAGGATTAAATGAAATGAACTGGCGCAAGCAGAAGAAACTAAATCAAGTTTAAGAGATCACGACTTAGTATTAATACTAGTAGTATCGTTACTACTGGCTGTTGTAGTTGTAGTTGTAGTAGTAGCAGTAGTAGCTGTTGTAACTATAGTAGCAGTTGCAGTAGTGGCAGCTGTAGTTGCTGTTGTAGTTGTAGTAGTAGCAGTAGTGGTTGTTGCAGTTTTAGTAGAAACAACAGTAGTGGCTGTAGTAGTAGTAGTAGTTGTTGTAATAGTAGTAGTAGTAGTAGTAGTAGTAGCAGTAGTAGCATTAGTGGCTCTTGTAGATGTAATAGTAGCAGCAGTAGTGGCTTTTGTAGTTTTTCTATTAGTAATAGTAGTTGAAGTGTCTGTAATACCAGTAGCACTACAATCCTAACAGTTGTGCTTTAATGTCTTTTTATTTAATAATAAAATTACTACAACTAAGTATTAATATTATACTGACAGTAGTATTAGTACCATTAAATGAAGTAGTAGCAGCTGCTGCAATATTACCACTGGTGGCTGTAGCGTAGTGTGGTAGTAGTAGACCTACGAGAGCTTCTTGTTTGGAGCGGATCTAGGCAAAGTTGACGAATGGGCCAACATTTAAACATTTTTGATATTTAAAATTTTACAAAGGGGCAAAGAAACTAAGGCAAATTTTTGTCAATTTCGCCCTAACCTCATCTAGTAGTATTAAAGTTAGCGTTGTAATTACAACCTAGGATGGTATAAATACAGAATAATATGATACAATGGTACAAAGATACAATGCTACAAAAATACAACAATACAAATGGTACAAAGATACAGTGATACAAAGAAATAATGATACAAAACCAAAGACACAACGAATAGATACAATATATAGATACAATGATACAGAAAAACAGCGATACAAAGATACAATGATACAAAAATACAAAGATTTAATGATACAAAAATACAATGATACAAAGATACAATGATACAAAGATACAATGATACTAACCACGACAACAAAAAATTTCATTCCCCCACCTTCATTAATACAAAAAGGACGCATAAAACATACACTCGCTAAGGATTAACATATTAATAATAAAGAATAATAATAATAAACAACAATAATAATAGTTATAGTTATAATAACAATAATAATAATAATAATATTGTTTTTATTATTATTAATAATTAACATGATAAGAACGATAAACACAAAAATTGTTCTTGAAATAATTGTCATAAACATCTAAACAAAGTTAATGCAATTAAATTTTCATAAAGTTATCAAAAAACACTAGCAAAAATTAATCACATTGACAGTAAGAACATTTTTAGAGAAACGACATCGTCGTCGTCGTCATAACCAACGACGGCAGCCACACATTACTACACCACTATAAATAAAAACGACGCCACAACAACTACCACAACCACAACAGCCACAACAACTACAACAACCACAACTACAACAGCCAAAACAACTACAACACTAACAGCCACAAACACTACAACAACCACAACCACAACAGCCGCAACAACCACAGCTACAACAGCCAAAACAACTACAACAACCACAGCCACAACAACTACAAAAGTCACAATCACAATAGCCGCAACAACTACAACAACCACAACAACAAAAACGAAAGCGACATCTACAGCCACAGCAGCCACAACAACTGCAACAATGACGTCAACAAAAATATCGCTAACCACAGATGGGCATAAACATTTGAAGTTATGCCCCGTGAAACGAGATGGCACTATGCACATCCACAACTACTACTACTAGGGTAGTATTATTACTTATTACTGCTTTTGCCGCTACTACTACTATTATTTCTACAACTTGTGATACGCTAAAATCGCAACTAATTCTGCTAAGATAATATTATTATTCATTACTTCTACAGCTATTCTACATCTACAACTACCTCTTCTAAAATAGTATTATTACTTACTACTGCTACTACTACCGTTTCTATTACGACTGCTACTACTACTACTACTACTATTGCTGCTGTTGCTACTACTACTACTACTACAACACTAACAGCCACAAACACTTCAACAACCATAACCACAACAGCTGTAACAACTACAACAACTACAACAACCACAACAACAAAAACTACTACTACTACTACTACCACTACTACAACTACTACTACTACTACTACTACTTTTACTGCTTCGTTTCTACTTGCTTCATTTGTTGTCGTGTCTGTTGAAATTAGCAGGGAAGCAAATTATTTATGAATGGAATTGTTTGCTTTATGGGGTTTGATTAGCCACAGTTGTGGTAGTAGTTTTGCAGTAGTAGTAGTAATAGTTGTAGCAGTAGTAGGAGGAGGAGTAGTGTGGTAGTAAAAACAGCAGCAGCAGCAGTAGTAGTAGTAGTAATAGGAGTAGTAGCAACAGCATTAGTAGTGGTGGTAATAATTTTGCAGAAAGTAGTAGTATATGTAGTAGTAGTTGTAGTATGAGTAGCAGTAGTAGAAGCAACAGTAGTAGCAGTAGTAGTGACAGCATCAGCAGTAGTAGCTGTAGCAGTAGTAGCGGTTGTCTTGCGGTAATTGTTGTAGTAGTAATATTTCTCGTTAACGTTTGCCATTTTTAGTTTGCATCATTCACGAAATGTTAAAAAAATACTTGTAGTGGCCATATCTAAGATGAAATTAATTTTCAAAAAAGAAAACTTAGTAGTAATAGTAGTAGCAGCAGCAACAGCATCATCAGTTGTAGCAGCTGCAGTAGTAGTTGAAGTAGCAGTAAAAGCAGCAGCAGTATGTGGTACTGGTACTTACATGGCACACGAATAATAAAAATTTTTAGTGCTAGAAATAAAAATTGTCGTCTGCAGATTTATATCTTGGGTGTTTTTCTTTTTTTTTTGGTTTTTTTCGTTTTTTAATTGTACGTTGAAACATAATGACTGTCTTTTGGTTTATGGAAAGATGTAGTGTGCGTGTTTCTGTGTGTGTGCGTGCGCGCGCTTGTGTGTGCGCGTGCGCGTGTGTGTACTACATGTATTTAAACATCATTTATACATTCTATTGTCTTAATATATTGTATTGTACGTTGTTTATTGTGTTCACACATTGTATTTTATGTGTGTTTGTGTGCGTTTGTATGTGTGTACGTTTTTGTATGTTTGTATGCGTGAATGTTTTTGCATGTGATTATGGTTTTACGTTAGCATAGTGCTGTATGTTAGGCATATAATAGAAATGTACGTGTTTTTGTTCGAACGGTGGGGTATATCTATTTTTGCACTCTCCTTTATAAGCAGCATGAATATATATGTGTGTGTGTGTGTGTGTGCGTGTGTGCGTGTGAATGTATATATTTGAATTTGATTGTATGAATTTATATGTATGAAAGGTGTATGCATGCATGCATGTGTATGGACTTGTATGTACTGGAATACGTAAACATATGTGTGTATGTGTATGTCAGTTGGTATGTACGTTTGTGTGTTTTAGGTTTGTACGTATGCATGTAGGAAGGTGTATTTAGAACATGAAATCATGCATAGCTCATAATGCGCAGTGCAGGGATGTTTATGCATGTTATCATATTTTATTGGGTACGTGTTGAATTGAATGTCGGAAAAGTTGTATTTGTATGCATGTAAGTTTGTGTTTGTGTGTGTCTGTGTGTGTGAGTGACTGTTTGTGTGTTTGCATGCATGTATATATGAATGTATTGGTATATGTATATATGTGAGCATCTTTCACCATACGTGGCCATACATATTTGTTTGATAATACTTATGTTTATATGTGTTTGTGTATGTGTGTGTGTGTGGTGTGTGTGTGTGTGTGTGTGTGTGTGTGTGCACGTTAATAAGGCTTTATTATATATAAATGTGCATTTTATACCAACACGCACACACGCGCACACACTCACACAAACACATAAACATATATATATATTTAACATATATATATGCGTGCAAGATGAATGTGAGGAATGGATAATGAAAGGCACAAGTAAGCTTAGCATCTATTATATTTGGCAACCTTTTCCGATTTTTTTCTTAGCTGAATTCGTTCGAAATGTCGGATTTTTGCGTGTGTTTGGTGAGTTGTATCTATTGTTGTATATATTAACTTGTGAATTACGTAGTTTACTATGTTGTAATTATCATCTGTAATTACTTTAAACAATTTTTCTGCGTGAATTATCAACTTTTTTTATCAAAATTTTAAATTTCAGCTCTGGTTTCGGAGTTGAAGTATGTAAACTTATTTACAGAGTTACCAAATATTTTAGCATAATTGAGGAAATCATGAAAAAAAAATCACAAAGTTTGATACATCTAACAATGTAATTTTTCAAAATGTTGCAAATAAACTGCCTTTCCAGCCATGGAATTCTTTCTCTTTCTTTCTTGCCGACGCGTTGCGAATCATTCGGTGTTATTTTTATAAATAAAATTTACCAATTTTTGAAATATTAATTTAAATTTGTAACCAGTGAAACTTGTTAAAAAAAAATTTCTTTGAATTTCATTCTCAAAACTGGCCAACATTTAAAAACGGCGAAAACGAATGAAAACTATTAAGATAAAATGAAATAACATCGATTGTATAAAAAAAACCTAATGCAAATAGATAAATAGACACTATAGACAGATAGATATATAGATACTATAGATAGATAGATATCACAGATAGATTTATAAAGTTATCATCTGTATATCTTATTAAATTTTGATCTTATCTCTAACCTAATCTAATTTGACCAACCATCTCTAAGCAAAAGCCGTTATCAATTTTGGAGTCCAATTTTCTTTCTATTTTCAATTTTAATAGTAAAAACACAAAAAAGAATTTGGGAGTTGAAAGTTCATCAAAATGTAAGCAGGCGTGTGTTCATTTGTATACACAGATGTTCATTTGTTACATTCTCTTACATCTCTTTACATTTTTTTACATTTTATTTACAGTTTTTACATTATTTACACTTTATTTACAGCTTTTACATTTTTTTTAGTCATTTTAATCTTTAGTCCGATTGGTAATTTGGAGTTAGCTTCAGGGATTGGTATGCACGTTTGGATCGCATCATTATACAGTCGTCCGTTCATTAGCGACGTGAATGTAATTCACAAACACATTTGTATCATTTTTATCCTTAGTATCACGATAAATAGGTTATTAGTGATATCATCCGTATCATTTATATCATCTGTATCAGTTTTATCATCTGTATCAGATTTATCATCTGTATCAGATTTATCATTGTTTCGTGATATTACACGCCGTATCATTTGTGTAATGTCGTTGTATCAGAAAGTTTCAGAAAAAAATTCGACGGCTGAGTGATAGATGAATGATAAATGAATTGAGATTAATAAAAAAAATTGAGAAAAGATAGAAGAGAGAGGGGAAGAGAGGAAGAAAAAAAGTGAGAGTAAGAGTGAAAATAAAAAAAAGCAAAGACAAAAACGCGGAGAGAGATAGCTGGACAGGCCATCTGATTGATGGGAATTTAGTGCGATGCAAAGCTTTCATTTAACGGCTGTTTTAATTTTTCTCTACACGATGGTGTAAAGCACAAAAAAAAGAATCATGGAAGAAACATTTCAGGACTAGAAGAAGGTTTAAAACGTAAGACTTAGAATAAAACTTAAAATGGAGAAATTAACAGACGAAAAATCAACAAAAACAAGTGCAAGAAGTGCTTGGAAGAGTATTTTTTGAATAAAAAGACAGGAGAAAAAGATTTTGAAAGTGAAACGTATGAAGCAAAGTATTGAATTTTTTGTCTGGAAGAAAATTAAAAAGTGAGAATTAAATTTACTTGCATGGAGATAAATTTTAAATGATAATAACTGTACTTACACTGATAAAATCAGCTAGTAGTTTCAATTTCAAGACCATAGAACGTCAATAGGAGATTGATGTAGCACGTAGTAAGAATGCAATAGTATTAGAAGTGAAAGTATTAAAAGTATTATTGAGAGTCATCTTCGGTTAAAAGTCATCAGGCAA